TATATTATCAGCTGTGGAATTTTTCTTGTCCTCATTCCACTTGATTGTCATTTACAAAGAGCTTAAAATGAAATGGTAAAGCTAACTACTTTTGGTAGGTAGGTTGAGGACTACCATCACTGACAGTCGTTTTTTTTTTTTAAAGGATAATGGTTAGTAAGTTAGTATTGTTAAATATTAGTAACTGAAGATTCGATTCACAAACTGGGTGAACAGCCCACTTGCCTCAATGAAGCGCGCTACCATCAAATCGCTTGGTGGAGTTCTAGCAGCCGTCTATTTATTCTTTTCTATCAAATTTAATAGTTTTAATTTCTTAAATATAAATTTTATATAAAAACTTAATATATTGTATAAATAATATATTATTTATCTAAATTATTAAATTTTTATTTATTTAAAATTCATCTAAAAAATCTAAAATTCAAATTAAGACTACTAAATTTTATCAATGCATCTGTATGATGCGCCTCACAGTTTTTTCTTGCTGCCACGTAGTAAGCCCAACTGAAACTTGCCGTATCTGATTCTAAGCAACCAAACTCAAACTCTTATCTTTTGGCCTTTCCTTTTTCGACCTTCTCTGCTAAGGACACACACTCTCAGAAAAATGGCTGTAATTCTTACCTCCTTCTCACCACCGACTCAACACGTTACGACTCCACCTCTGCTGCCGTTTTCCTCCGCCTGTGTTCTCAGCACTCGCAGAACCCAACAACCGGTAATCTCTCCAGGCATTCCCATTATGCTCATGAATCTCATTGATTATGAAGAAGACAATCTTGTTAGGGCTAGCTGATTCATTTATGTATGTTGTTGATGTTATTTTTGAGAATTATTGTGATTTTTTCATGGTTTTGGGGCTTCAATGCTGTGTTCTGTTTTGGGTTCATTTAAAGCAAGGATTTTGCTGATTAATTTATGCATGCTATTAATGGGTAGTTTTGAGAATTATGGCGGTTTGTCTCATGGGTTTGGAGCATAAATGCACAATCCTGTTTTGGACTCACGTAAAGAAAAGGAGGTTTTAGATCTTGAGCGCACAATTCTGTTTTGGGTGCATATAAAGTTGGAATTTTGGTTTATAGTTTCATTTTTGTGTTTCTGTTTTCATGAATCAAAAGCAGAAAGGGGAACACCTTTCAATTGTTTTTTCTTTGAGGCATTTGAGAAAAAAGCACAAGTTTGAGGTAATTGCATCACCAACTTACCATTGAAAAGGAGAGGATCTGTTGGTTTTCCTAGGACTAGGAGAATTGCAGATGGGTTGCAAACTTGCACCCTTTTGAGGTTTGGATCATTAAAGGATGCAATTCCAGAACGTTATAGCCTATAGGGACAGGAAATGATCAAATCCCACGAGCTTAATAGTTCTTTTGCGTTAGAGATAGAATTTTTTTTACTGACTCCTTTTATTGGAGATATTACTCTTTAAGGTTTTGCAGGTAAGTCTGCACCTTAAAATGCTGGTTTGTTAATTATCACTAATTCTTGTTGTTCTAATATGGCTACATGTATGTCCTTTTAGAGCTGGCTTCTAGTTGAGTTGAATTCATCTCTTTATTTTGTTGAATGTTAAAACATTATTGAGGACTTTTTTGTGACATATTCTCTATAATATAATCAGACTAAAGCTTTTGCAGTTCCAAGGAGGAATGCAGTGGCATTGATCTTATCAAGTTATGCCTTCTCAGAAGTTTGTTTGCATAACATTGCATTTGCTCAACCTTCTGTTGGATTCCGGGAATACATCGATACATTCGATGGTTATTCGTTTAGGTACCCTCAGAACTGGATTCAGGTCCGAGGTGCTGGAGCAGATATATTTTTCAGGGACCCTTTTGTTCTGGATGAAAATCTCTCTGTGGAGTTTTCCTCTCCTTCGTCCTCGAGGTACAAGAGCATTCAAGACTTGGGTCCACCACAAGAAGCCGGAGAGAAGGTACTTAAGCAGTATTTGACAGAGTTTATGTCTACAAGGCTTGGTGTGAGGCGTGAATCTAATATTCTTTCTACTTCCTCAAGAGTTGCGGATGATGGGAAGCTCTATTATCAAGTTGAGGTAAGGCATTTGATGATGTAGCACTTCATTTGCCCTTTTTCGAAGAAGAATGACTAACTTAACCATTCTATGATGATATGGATCACACTCTGTAATTGTTAGGTCAATATAAAGTCGTTTGCTAACACTAATGAACTGGCTGTGATGCCCCAAGACCGAGTAACTCGTTTGGAATGGGATCGGCGATACCTTTCAGTTCTTGGAGTTGAAAACAGCCGATTATATGAGTTGAGATTGCAAACACCAGAAAGTGTATTTGTAGAAGAAGAAAATGATCTTCGCCAAGTCATGGATTCCTTCAGAGTAAACAAGGTGGGTGCATGATCAGTTTAAAAGAGTCTTTTGATCAGAGTTTTTTTCAGTATATTGTAACTGAAGGTTCCAATTTCACTCTGTTTTCTTGTAACTTGTAAACAAGTTTTCCTTTTTCATTGCAGCATTCTTATGAAAATCACTCTTTTCCTGAATGTTAGATGATTAAGGAATTATTCTTGCTATAGAAGAGATTAAGAATCATTTTGTTAATCAATTATTCTTGTAGATTATTCTTGATTTTGTTTTTAAAATTAGCGGTACTGAAACTCTGCTTTTCCGTACTCGAATTGGACTAACACTGGAGTTTCTTGCATATATCACAAAATTCCTTGTATCTACAATATCTCATGACCATTTGTCCCTTGAGCTTTTTATGCACATGCTAGTTCTTTTTTTTTTTTTAACCAATAAACTCTAAGCGTTCCTGAATTCCTAATCAGTATATTCATCTTACATTTGCATACAAGAGAAAGAGAGAAGATTGATTGTATGTGTACATTTCTCTTCAAGTTAAATCATTACACTCACAGATTACAAAATTAAAAATCTTGCCGCAGAGTTGTATCAGTGAAATTGCAGTCAAAAAACACCCAGAACTACAACCAGAATTCATATTAAATCAAACACTAAATTATGACCTAACTTCAAATTCACCAGCTCGTGTAAGAGCTCGAAAACCTTTGTAGAGACGACTTGGCATGGTCTTCAGTTCCAATTTATCTATTTGCAGGCCAGAGAGGGCAACACCCATTATTCTAAAACCCACTTGAAATGTTGGGAACACATGAAGGCGCTCTAGTCCTGTCTCAAGCACTAATGTTCCTGACAATGAAGGAGCTTTATCTTTTGGAATCCTTCCAATTGACCAAGAACATGTCTGCAAGAGAATGTCATTTCCAAAAGAATAGGTTATGGTATCAGACAATATACTATAAGCATCGAAAACCAATCTGCAGTACCCTATATCTTATAATATCAAATGCTTGAGGTGGTAGATACCTTATTACTAAGTATGGTTACAGTTCCATGATTTGAATTCAAATCAGCTGATAAAATGCAAGGAGGCAGTTGAAATTGCACAGTTATTGAATCAATTGTCTTTCCAGGATCATTTCTTATTCCAACTAGCACGTTGACATGGCATTTTCCAGCATCTGATGTTAGCTGTGGCTTTACATATATAGGGGTACTCTTCAACTTTTTAACTCTGCACATAAATAATAGGTTATATACCTAATATGGAACTACAGCAGCTGAAGCCTGAATGAAAGCACAAATGTGCACACACCTGTAACTCATGAGCTTAAACTGTCCATCAGGAGGCACAAACGAGAGAATCTGATGAGATTCCCAAGGTCGAAATCGAACACAGGGATGGAACCTCACATCATCTAGAATAGATGAGTTTACAAATGAAAGACTCAAATCAGGAAGACCTGATATATGGGAGTTTACTTGAACCTCACCATAAATTTCGCACTTCACCAACACGCCATCCCTAAACAGCAGCAAACAGGAAATTTTCTTAGCCCACCTTATTTTTATTTTAATGAAAATAAGTTACTTAGCCCTTTGAGTAGGAAACCAGCATTATAAACAAACAACAAACAAGAGTAACTACAGAATCATACATGTAACTACATAATGACAATCAATAATGACAGGCAGTTGCGCTAGAAAGGAGTAGATGACTGCAAAAGGCAATACGAAAATCTCAGAGATAAAGCAATACACACCAAAACATCATCTTAGTTGGATTCGTAATAACAAGCCAAATAGCAAAACCTTGTAAAAAAGTTTGCAGAGCTGCTAAGTGATTTTAAATGATTTTTTAGGGAGATCTAAGAAATGACCTGCGTATAATTGCATCCATTTCTTCAACAAGATCGACATAAACTTCATTGTTAGCATATTTGGTATCTGCTGCTCTCCATGGAACACAAGAAGCAGTTGCACCAGGCAGGGTCTCGCTGACATTGGAGATGTTACCAGTCACGACACTCAGAACTTTACTAACTATATTTGGTGGGGCTATCATCTCCCTCAGAATATTTGGTTCTGTAGTGAGAGGAAAGCCATTGTCTATCATCTCATCGAGAAGCTGCAAATTGCATTAAACATGTTAGTGGGTTTGAGTCCAAAATGCTTGAGCAATATAGAAAGCTTGATGCATGAACTCAATATTAGCCCAATGTCCATTTCATCCAAAGCAAAGCATCTTTCCAGGCATATGTTGGAATACAAAATTCATCTTACCATCACATATACACTATGAAACTAGGCTACATCAATAGTTTACCCATTACCCCATGAAACTACCCTAAGCATTTCAATGAACATGATTAATGCATGTACCTCATAGACAATCACAAAGTTATCCTTCACCAAATCTTCATTCAACCCACCAAGGTAATCTGAGAGGACATCAGCTACTCTGCAGAGGAACTACAATTCAAGCCATTAAAGATCAAGCGCTTTACTTTTCTTCAATGCACACACCACACAATAAAATCACAATTAGGATTGATCGATATTGAAATGCTCATAAATCATAATGCTCCAATTTATTTACCTCAATGCCCATCAATGGTGGCATTTCAACTTGGGTGCAAGCCAAAAAGGTAATTCCCTCTCTTACAACTTGGAATAGGTAATGCGTTGGTGAAGCAATCACTGGCTGTGACTGTTGACAAACAGCAAGCAAAGTGTAAAACATGAGACAAAGAAACACAAAAGAAAAGAAAAGAAAAGAAGAAACCATAATTGAGAACTACAAACAGAGAATCGGAAAAAATGTCAAAATAGTTTTAAAAAAAATAATGCCATAATGAAACAAGCCAAAAAAAAAAAAAAAAAAAAAAAAAAAAACCCAAACAAACACACACATTAACTTGAATCGGACAGAGAAGCAGTAAAGAAAACCCAGACAATTAAGATGGAAATGGAATAAGAAAGTTAATAGTGCTACCTTAAAGGATTCACCATGAGAAACAGCATTATCCCAGAACCAATCACATATTGATCTGTCCACCCGATGCCCAGTTAGCTGTTTCTCTAGCATGACTTCTCTGTGGAAACCAAAAATTCAGAGTAAATATATAACAATTCGACGTTTTCGATTTGATTTGTGGATTCATTTTCATGGAAATCAAGAATTTGGTGATCCAAATGGGAAATTCAAAGCAAACCAATTTACATGGAATTGTACTTAAAGATCGAAAAGGAATAAACTTTGATTCAAACAGATCTTACCCAGAATCTGAAAGGAGAAATATACACTGCAACATCTCTTTCCCCTCTTCGTTTCTAATCAATTTTTTCTATAACCAAACAGAGCAGAATGGGTATAAGAGCGATGAACTATGGAGTTAGCTTCTTAGCTTTCACCCAAAAATACAGAAAAATACACAACGGAGTTAGCTTTATTTTTTATTTCACGTTTTCTAAGAATAATGTACAAAAGTCCCTAAACTTTACACAAATGTTCATGATGATCCTGGAAGTTTTTTTTTTCGGGTTGCATGGTAAGACAATTCTCTTTTCATCCCGTAGCTCACTACACATACATGTTATACTCACTTGTAAGTTGTGTTATCAAAATGAGTGCCTTTAGCTTCTACAAAAGAAAATTATTATTAAATTATTTAAATCATCGACTCTTAAAAACTTGTTTTAAATCATAATCATAAGTGAACTTCAACCATTCTTCCATTACCATCCATTATGACATAGGATCCCAAGAATTGGACCATCATAATTCAAGTATTGAAACTAACATCACCAACACCTAAAAATGTCTAAAAAAATTAATTTACTTGAATGTACCACATCAATATGAGGGATATGCACTTAAGATCATTAGGGAAAATTAATCTTTCTTTTTTGTAAGTTAGATAATAGACTATACAACAGAGAATAGTTTTTTTTTTCCTAAATCCTTTCTTACCAATCTTAGGATTCAAACTTGAGATTTTCAATGTAAGGGTTCAAATTCTTAATTATTGAAATATCCCTT